GTCATGTATGGATGTGAGAGTTGGACCATAAAGAAAGCTGAGCGCCAAAGAATTGATGCTTTTGAACTGTGGTGTTGGAGAAGACTCCTGAGAGTCCCTTGGACTGCAAGGAGACCCAACCAGTCCATCCTAAAGGAAATCAGTCCTGAATATCCTTTGGAAGGACTGATACTGAAGCTGAAACTCCAATACTTTGGCCACCTGATTCGAAGAACTGATTCATTTGAAAAGACCCTGATGCTGGGAAAGATTGAAGGCAGGAGAAGGGGATGACAGAGGATGAGATGGTGGGATGGCATCACCGACTCCATGGACATGAGTTTGGGTACGCTTCAGGAGTTGGTGATGGACAGGGAGGTCTGGCGGGCTGCAGTCCATGGGGTCACAGAGTCGGACCTGACTGAGCGACTGAACTGAACTGAACTGAAGCAGAATTCAGCTCTGAAACTGTTTCTGAGATTACCTCTTTGGTAGTGTATCTCAACAGACTCTTCTGGAGTCAAAAGCTCAACTCAAAACCAGAAAAATGGTGACTTCCCTGGTGGTCCAGTGGCTAAGACTCTGTGCTCCCAATGCATTCAATCCCTGGTCAGGTAACTAGATCCCACATAGCTCAGCTAAGAGATCAAGTGCTGCAACTGAGACCACCGTGCAGCCAAATTAAAAAAAAAACAAACTGGAGCTCAAGGATCAGTCAGTCACAGATGTTTGGTTGATTGGAGTAATATTTTTTAAACTATTTATTTTTGAATTGCTGTAATTACAGAAACAGGAGAGTTTAAAATAATGAAAGAGACCATTAAATGCCACTCTATGATAGTCAATTTGAAAACCTAGAAAAAAGACTCCTCACAAAATGTTAAATACCAAAATTGATGTAGGAAAAAATTTTAAATAAAGCATTTATAGAAGGGAAAAGTAACATTTGATGTGGAAAAGGCATCAGAATGAAATGGCTGTGTAACTGAATTTCATTTAATATTTAAAATACAGAGGGGCTTCCCTGATGGCTCAGATGGTAAAGAATCTGCCTGCAATACAGGAAACCCAGGTTCCATCCCTGGGTCGGGAAGATCCCCTGGAGAAAGAAATGGCAACTACCCCAGTATTCATGCCTGAAAAATCCCACGGACAGAGGAGACTGGTGGGCTACAGTCCAATGAATCACAAAGAGTCGGACACGACTGAGTTTCCCTAGTGGTCCAGTGCTTAAGAATCTACCTGCCTATGCAGGGGACATGGGTTCAATCCGTGGTCTGGAAAGACTGAACATGCTACAAGGGCATGTAAGCCTGTATGCTGCAATTACTGAACCCACTCTCTAGAGCCTGTGAGCCCTAGAGCCCATGCTCCACAAGAGAAGCCACTGCAATGAGAAGCCCACGAAGCAAAGAGTAGCCCCTNGCAGTGATCTTGATTCCAGCTTGTGCTTCATCCAACCCAGCATTTCTTATGATGTACTCTGCATAGAAGTTAAATAAGTGGGGTGACAATATACAGCCTTGACGTACTCCTTTCCCTATTTGGAACTAGTCTGTTGCTCCATGTCTGGTTCTAACTGTTGCTTCTTGACCTGCATGCAGGTATATTAAATAAATAAATTTATTTATTTAATTTGTTGACCTGCATACAGGTATACCTGCATACAGGTATTTTAAATAAATAGATTTATTTATTTGTTGAAATTATTTTATTTAAATTTTTAATTTATTTTTGGCTGTACTGGACTTCATTGTATGTTACATACAGTGAAGTCTAGTACAGCCAAAAATAAATGAATAATTTAAAATACAGATAATTACAATGTTATTCAAATCCTTGCTACTCAAAGTGTGGTCCATGGGCCAGCAGCATCAGCATCCCTGGGAATTTGTTGGCCCCCATCCTTGCTGTTAAATTAATTCTGTGTTTTAATAGGAGTTAATCTGGAGAAGGAAACAGCAACCCACTCCAGTGTTCTTGCTTAGAAAATCCCATGGACGGAGGAGCCTGGTAGGCTACAGTCCACAGGGTTGCAAAGAGTCAGACACGACTGAGCGACTTAACTTTCACTTTCAATAGGAGTTAAATCCCCTAGAAAGTGATGCATGCATATTAGTGATCAAGAAACACTGGGCTGAGACAGTGGTTCTCAACTTTGGCTGAATATTGGAATTATCTGAAGAGTTTTTTTAAAAAATACTGACATTTGAGTCCCACCCCCCAGAGATTCTGATTTAATTAATCAGGTGCATGCCCTGGGCCCCTGTATTTAAAAATATTCCCTAGATGATTGAAAATCAGAGATATAAACTGGCCTTAGAAAAATATGGAAAACTAAAAAAGAAATTTCACAAAGAATGTATCTCAAAGCAAAAAAACAAAACAAAACTACAAACAAATCTCATTTATTATTAAAAATAAAATCCAATAATGATAAAAATAGAGTAAGACCAGGCGGAGTTGATCTCAGGAATACAAGCAATAATTTGCTGGTTTAATAACCAGCTCTGGGGAAGATTTTTTAAAAGGCCTGATTTGGAACCTTTGTCAATTCTTGTGGTGTAAATACTCCGACCTGGACTAATTTTAAGCATCTTTCATTGTAAGCTAATTTTGCTTCTAGCAAAGAATGGTGCTAATTTTAAGCTAGCAACAGGATCTTAACTGGCTTGAAAATTTCTGAAAATGAAACAACTGGCTCTCACAATCTGCTCGCTGCCTCACACCACTAGAGATTGATTCAAAATTAGGACACCTCCCCATGAGCCCATTCCGTCAGCACTTTGGAGAGGAGAGACGTGTGATGTCAGAGAGCGTCCCATCACAGTTGTGTTCAGGGGGGACTGCCTGGGGTATAGGCGCCACCTCCACGCAAGCACGTGCCTCATCCCTCCGTGCGGACTCTCATCCAGCAGGCTTCACTCAGGTGCTGACCCGCTGCTCCCTGAAGGCATGGGACTCTCTGACACCTGCTTGGCTGCCAGAACGAGCCTGTCCCAGACCTGCTGGGACCCCTTGGCCCCCTTGACCCCTGGGCCCCAAGGCCCAGGTTTGATCAGGTCCTTCAGAGGTGGGTATGAGCATCGCCTCTGCTTCTCCACAGGCAGACCTGGCAGGGCTCAGCGTGCTGCTTCGTTATTCCACAGGCATCCTTTCAGAAGAGGGGGCCCTTTCCCTAACCTGAAGGGAGCCGCCGAGAGAGGGCAGGGGCCCGTCTAACGTCCTTGGGACGGGGTGGGTTTCCTGCCCCCGGGTCGTCCTCCGAGGTTCATCTGCTCTGCCTGCGCTTCCTTGCTTTCTTGGCTTAATCGTGCCAGTTGCATTTCTCTTTCTGGAACTGCGCGCCTCTTACATGATTGCAGGAAGCTCCCCTTGTATTGATAACCCAGAGTCCATTCTCACCGCCGCTGAACTCTCCGGAACAACACCGTCACTCTTGACCTAGGTGGTGCCTAGAGCGGGCCTCCACCTCGGCGTTCACGCCAGCTGTGGTGACGGCTGCCGAGCGGTCCCTCTCCCGGCCTGGTAGGAGGGCTCTGTGGCCGTGGGGCCGTCAGCAGCTTCCCGGGTTACCCCGTGGTGTCAGGGGCCCCTGAGAGCTCCTGGAGCCCTGCGCTGTGCGCAGTCACGGCCGCCCCTGCTCCGGGGGAACACCGCCCTTCACACCGCCGTCTCCACCCTGCAGGGTCGGTGGCAAGGGGTTGGCAGAGATTCTGCCGCGCGAGTTTGTCTGTTCTCCGTGGGACGGGTTTTATCTGCTATTCACCAAACCAAATGATGACTGAGCACCTCGGACGGGCCCTTTGGGCCGGGGCGAGAGCAATGAACCACGTGGATGTAAATCCCTGAACTGCATGTCATCAGGGGGAGGGAAAATGAACAGAAGCAGACCAGAAGCAGACAAATAAGGTGATCATAAGGATATGGAGAAAATTGCGGAGGCTCAGAGATGCAGGGAGGGCGCTCCGTAGCTCAGAGTCGGGGAAGGACCCTGTGGGAACCGAACCGACCGAGTGTGCAGGAAGGGTCAGCTCCGGGAGGGAGGGGCGGGGAGCCACAGAGGCCGCGCGGAGGGCGTGGGCTTGGCGTGTCTGTGCATGCCAGTCTTGCGGGCGGGCAGGGGCTGGGTGCTGGGTGCCAAGGGCGGCCTTTGGACTCCCACGGGAACAGGGCTGGGGCCGGTCAGAGGTGGGAGGCCAACAGGACCACATCCGGGGGGCACAGGGCCCCGTGGCCAAGGTGTGGAGAAGGAAAGGGGCTGGGGCGGTCACTGAGGCAGGACCCAGGCTGGGGGACAGGGTCACCGGCCCTCCGGAGCGCGGTCATGCCTCGCCGAGCTCAGTCATCTGAGCTCGCCCGTCACAGACACCTCCGCGGCCAGAGCCTGCCACCGCGGCCCAGAACCACAGCAATTACCTGTCAGGACGAAAACACAGCAGCGTGTGTTCATGCCGAAACAACAGCAATCACAGCGCAACGCCTCTCCGGGCTGTGTCCGCCGACCCCGCTTGCCCTGACCGCTGACCCCTGCAGCCTCACGCTCCACGCGGCCCCCCGGCTCCGGGCCCCCCAGGCTCGGACGCCTCCGCCCGCTCCCCCTACGTGGTTGCTGCCGAGATGCTGGCAGGCAGGGTCAGAGATGCAGGGGGCAGACGTTTTTGGAAATGCGTTTGTCACGTGGTACACATCATTAATATTTGATTGCTTTGACATAACTTATTCATCTCCAATCCTTTATCATTCTGGAAGAAAGTAGTCTCTTGCCTCTCTATCCATTTGTTCAGTCTACAGATATTTGTTGAATCACAACTACAGGCCCCCTGGGTAGGAGCTGGAGATACTAAGGAAAGGTACCCTACCCCCACCAGCCCCGGGGCGTGGCCGCCTGCAGATATCACTGCCACTTCACAGGGCGTCGAGGCCAACCAGAGCTTCAGACCACAGAGCTGGACTCTCTCTCCAGTAGAAGGAAAGAAATGAGAATTCACGTTTCTTATTTACTCTGCCAGATACTGAATCAGGTACGTGCATCTGCAGACCTCACCTTTGTTCCTCACAGCATTCTGGAAAATGGATCGATCGTTCCCGTGTGCCCTGATGAGTATATCCTGGCCAGGAGCGGTGACACCGTCTGGACCTGTTACACAGCCAGTCAACAGCGGAGCCAGGGCGGCAGCCGGCTTTGCTCGGCTCAAAAACCCACACTCTTTACACTCCACCAAAGTTAAACCATAAGAATGCAGATCAAACTCAGATTAAAGGAAGGACTTGGGCACATGCTCAGGCCCACCTCAGTCAAGGAAAAGGGTGAGGACAAGAAGGAAGTCATGTGTCAGGAGTGATAACGTCTCAAGAGCAACCAAAAGAATCATGAAAACAAGAGTAACAAACACGAAGAAACATCATGGAAAAACCCAGCCAGCTGGTTCATGTCACAGAGTGAGTCACCCCCGAAAGACCTTGGAGGAAGATGAGAAAATGGATAGGTTTGGGGATAATTATCTGAACTTGCTGGGAGGCAGAGTCCTGCCAGATGCGGCTTGTTTAGCATCCAGCTGTCTGGAGGTGGAGAGGGCGGAGGGCTCTCCTGGGACTTCTAGTAAAACTCAGCCAAAGGGTGCCTTCATCTCTGGGTCTAGAGGAGGAGCCCTAGATCCCTGCTGTCAGCCTGGGTACCGGCACCCACAGGATTATCAGAAGCAGAAGAAGACACAGGAGTAAGAGGACAGATTTTTTAGAAGAAAATGTCCATTTTACTTAAAAATTTGAGCAAAACCAATGACATTACTTTGATAGCAAATGTTAATTTATTATGCAAGAGATAGCCAGTTTCACATGAAATTTGAAGATAACCCATTTTCAAGGAAGTTTCCTGATTTAGGTGGATCACTTGAAGTTTCATTCCTAGACATCTAACGATCCATGATTGTTTGCTGGGAAATACTGAGACAGTCCACATGGTTATCTCAAATTTGTGACAAATCAGCTACTCACATCCCACCCTCAGATCAGTTTTAACCAACAATATCTGAACTCTCATCCTGGGCTGGAGGTTCTGCTGGATCCTGTTCAAGATTAAGAAGGTATTGTTCACGTAGTAATCCCGAACACATGCCCACAGTAACCGTAACGTTATCTGTTACTTAGGCTATGGTCGAGGCCTCATACTATACCATACCATACCATAGAGGCCTATGGTATGTGCACTCAAAGGAGTGATTAATTTTACCTGGGAGGGGGAGCCATGGGTGAAGACTTTGAAAAGAAGTTTCCTCTGAAGGGCAAGGATTCTGCCATGGGGCTCTCCCTCACTCTAGACAGAGAAAGCAGGGAATTTACTCCAGTTGGAGTGTAAGGAACACAGGAGACACTGGTCAGAGGTTATTAAGGTAAATCTTTGGGTTCAGATGATGCAAACCTTGAACGTCACCTTGGGCATCCTAGACTTTTTTGTGGAGACAATGGAAGGTCGGCATTGAAAGGTTTGAGATGGGTAAGAAATACAACCAAACCTGTATTTTAGGAAGTTCATGAAGGTTGGAGGGTGACTTGGAGGGAAGAGGTCTTGTAATTCAGATTCTGGGCCAACCATTGAGGTCTTTCCTAAAGGCATCCATCCCAGCCTCTTGGGCAGCTCAGTCCATTCCCATCATATGCAGATCTGAGACATTTATGGAGTCCATTGCATTATGTAATCACCCCTATAGGATGGATGTATATATTGCTCTGTCACAATTGTTGGTAGTATTTTGATAGATGCATTTTAATACAATTGGTTTCCTCTGTAATCTTATATGTTTTCTTTTATGCCCTTGAAAATATTGATTTGGGGACTTCCTTGGTGGCCCAGTGGTTAAGACTCCACGTTTCCACTGCAGGGGAAGCAGGTTTGATCCCTGGTTGGGGAACTAGAATCCCACATGTCTCACAGCATGGCCAAATATATATACATATACACATGGCCAAATACATACATACATATATATATATATATGTATATATGTATATATATATATAGTTTTGGGAAAGACTCTATGGACTTTACAGACTGCCAAAGGGTTCATGATCAAACATTTGAAGGTACTACATAGACCATCTTTCCTTTCTCCACATGCAGTAATTCCTCAGTCACGTGAGCATTTATCAAACGCCTCTCCTGGGCTCAGGTCTGTGTCAGAGGCTGTGCTCTGAGGATCTGAAACCAGGCTGCCTGGGCTGGATTCCTGCTGCTGCTTTTTTGAACCATGTGATTGTGGCCAAATTAACTTTCACCTCCCAATCTTCTCCTTTGTAAATGAGGACAATAGTAATCCTATACTTCAGGGGGCTGTTATAATAATGAAATCAGCTAATGAATGTAAAGCTTTGGGCAGTGTCCAGCCCCCTGAGCCCAGACCACAGTGTGTTTGTTGTAGAATCAGGGAGACATTGTTACAGGGAGGAGCCCATTTTGACTCCAGGCAGGATCTGTTTCTTTGACTTTAACCTTTGCTTTTCATTGTCTTTGTTACTATAATCATACATAATGGCCTGCCTTAGGGAACTGGGCTGCTCTGCCTGAATGTTAAGCCAAAATTGCCTTTTTTCAGGGAGACACCCTGACTCCCTCCACCTGTGGAAGACCACAGTTCAGTTCAGTTCAGTCGCTCAGCCGTGTCCGACTCTTTGCGACCCCATGGACTGCAGCACGCCAGGCCTCCCTGTCCATCACCAACTCCCGGAGCTTACCCAAACTCATGTCCATCAAGTCGGTGATGCCATCCAACTATCTCATCCTCTGTTGTCCCCTTTTCCTCCTGCCTTCAATCTTTCCCAGCATCAAGGTCTTTACAATGAGTGAGTTCTTCGTATCAGGTGGTCAAAGTATTGGAATTTCAGCTTCAGTATCAGTCCTTCCAATGAATATTCAGGACTGATTTCCTTTAGGATGGACTGGTTGGATCTCCTTGCAGTCCAAGGGACTCTCAAGAGTCTTCTCCAACACCACAATTAAAAAGCATCAATTCTTCGGTGCTCAGCTTTCTTTATGGTCCAACTCTCACATCCATACATGACCACTGGAAAAACCATCGCCTTGACTAGATGGACCTTTGTTGGCAAAGTAATGTCTCTGCTTTTTAACATGCTGGATGACTACAGGAAGGAAGAAATTAACATATCCCATCCTGAGGCTGGCCATTCCAGGAGATATTTGCAAGACTGATGGCCTTTTACTTTATCTCCTCACCTCTTCCCCCTCTCTGTTTTATAAAAGACCCTGGCATCCAGACCCTGACAAGATGGTTATTTTGAGACGTTAGTCTGCCATCTTCTCAGTCCGCCAGCTTTCCACATAAAGTCATGATCCTTCCCTCAACACCTTGTCTCTCGGATTTCTTGGCCTGTTGTGTGGTGAGCAGAGTGAACTTGGACGTGGGAACATGGTAACCTCAGGTGACACCACGCCAGAATAGAGCTGCTGTTTGCTACAACTCTCATTGCTTCGGTTTCCTGTCTTCAGGTCTTCCTAAGAAGGACCCAAAAAACTCAGCTGAAAAAGAAGTAGTCACAGAATCCCTTCAAAGTCTATACTTATCTAAAAATTTGGTAGCTGTCTTAGTTAATGTCCCCAAAAAGCAGAACCTGAGGTAAAGGATTGGTGGCAGGTTGCATTTGGGAAGTGATTCCAGGCCACACAGCAGGGGAAGGAGGAAGTGGTGGCGAGGAGGGAGCGAAGCTACGAAGGTCAACCAGCAGGCTGCCTCCGAGGGCAGCGGGGGCCCCTCTGAGGGGTCCTGCAGAACACGCCCGGCTGTCCTGCCGGGGTGGAGGGGGTGGGCTCATCCACCAGCAGCGCTCCCTCATCTCTGAGGGCTGGCCTGGGGGTCTCACGTGTGCGTCCAGACTGCAGTGGCAGACGCTGCCCGCAGACGGCCACACGGGTGCCTGGGGAACAGCCTGTGTGTGGGGGAGAACGCCGTCTTTGAAAGCCCCCCGCCCCCGCACGGTGTCGCTTCAGTGGGGATGGCAGGGGAGACACGCCATCATGGGTAAAAGAGACGGTAAACAGATGAGTCTGTCCTTTATTTGATTTTAAAATGTTACTGAAAGAGGTTTAACTCCACCCTGCATCTTTCAGCGGCTTCCGGCCCTCCCCTTCTTGCTGTAGCCTGTGATTTTCACCCCAATATTGCTTCAGCAACTTATGTGTGATTTGGTCTTTATGAGTGTGTTTATCAAAAATCCCAGCCACCCACACACTTCAGAGCCATTATTATGGTTAAACTTGTCAGTGATTTGAAGCCAGGGGGTGGGAGGTGGGAGGGGAGGGGTGGTTGTGTCAGAATATATTCATTATTTTGGTACCTGCTTATTAGCAAAGAAAACTGAGTTCCCGGAGTGTTTCTTCTTCTGTGTTGTTGTCTGTTAATCAAACAAACACCATGACTTGCAGTGTGAAATCTTAGGACCGTGGGATGTTAGTTTCATATGGCTAGATTTCAATGTAAGTGGAGTCGTAAGAACGTGTACTTCTTTGAACAAATGAGTGACTGTCACACTGTTAAATTCCATAAAAAGCAGTTACGTCTGCTCAGTTTCCAGGTGAGAGAGCATGGATACTGGGGAGCAGATTTATCATCATTATTTTAAAAAGCAATCAGTAAAGGAGAAGAACTGTAGGATATCACAATTTTATCTACACTATGAGTACAATAGTGGAGGAATTATGTCACTTTATGGGCAAGAACAGGAAGGTAAAATGGAAAAATGAATATTGTTTTCCAATGCAGTCCATTTTATTTTTAAAACAGGAGGAAAGACAGACCGTCAGTGACTTATCATCACATTCCAGTGTGACATGAAATTCTCGATGTGCTTTTATTTCCCTCAGCAACTTTTCTAAGCGCATACAAATTCATTGAGGAATGTCCCCAAATTTCCTTCCACCCCTTTCTCTCTCCTCTAGGCTAAAACGTTGGAGCTGGCCACTAGGGCCCTGCAAACATGGATAAATCTGGAAACCAATACACTAAGAGAAAGGAACCAGACACAAAAGACCACACGTTGTTTGATCCCATTTACATGAAATTTCTGCAAAGAGGAGATACTATGGCTATGGAAAGCAAATCCGCGGTTTCTAGAGGCTGCTGGGAACAGGGACTGAGCATAAAAGTGCGTGAGGAAAATCTTCAGGGTGCTGGCATTGTCCTAAAACTGGATTGTGGTGGTGGTTGCATAGTTGTGAAAATGTATGATAAGTCAATTACACAATCATGCTTTTTGAGGGAGAAAGAAAAGGCAAAAGAGGGCGGGGGGAGGGAGAAAAGCCCTGGGTTGTAGAAAACAACTTCTAGTTAGTGTGGGGTAGACGAGCTCCCTGTTGAACGAGTTATAGCACCTTCACTCACAAGTGACATCCAGGAGCCCCTGAAAATAAACCTTTGCCCCCAACACACCCTCTAGGGGAAAACAGCACCTGTTTTTGCAAAGGAACTTCAAGACGAGCCTCCTTCCCTCCCCTCCAACAGACTGGCCCTCGGCTGCTTCAGGACAAGCCGGTCAGCATAGCACTGTCCCCTAGAAACAGAGGGGGAGCCAAGCACCTAGGCTTCTGCATTTTCTAGCAGACACATTGAAAATGAAAGCAGAAACAGATTGCATTAACTTTAACAATATGTTTCCTTTAACCCAGTATGTCCAAAGTATGATTGTTTCAGTGTATCATCAATATAAAAATTATTGCGATATTTTACTTTCTTTCTTTCATATGAAGACTTCAAAGTCTGTTACTAGTGGAATGGCATGTTTCAAGTTTGACCAGCTTCATTTTCAAGTGTTGGAAAGACACAGGTGGCTACGGCCTTGGATAGCACAGGCCTAGAGGCATCTTGTTGATGCTTGAGAGACTTCAAATTGTTCTAAGAGAGAATGGTTTTCATGCAGACGTCCACTGCCAACTAAACAAACAAACAAAGGTATATATTGGATTGTGTAAAATCACACTCATCTCTGTGTGATCCTCACTTTTTTTAAAATTTAATTTTTCAGGGCTTCCCTGGTGGCTCAGTGATAAAGATCCCACCTGCCAATGCAGGAGACACGGGTTCGATCCCTGGTCTGGGAAGATCCCACAGGCTGCGGAGCAACTAAGCCCTTTTTGCCACACTCCTGAGCCCGCGAGGCGCAGCTACCGAAGCCGGCATGCTCCAGAGCCTGTGCCCCTCTGCGAGAGACGCCACCGCAGGGCGAAGCCCGCACACAGCTGGGGAGGCGCCCCTGGTCGCCACGGCTAGAGAACAGCCTGAGCAGCGAGGAAGACCCGGCGCGGCCAAAAGTAAATAATAAAATTGTGTTAAAAAGTAAAGGCTCAAAAAATTAATTTTTCACACAGTCCTGAAGAATTTTTTAACGTACTCAGTGAGTTTCCTAGTCAAGTCTTGATTACTTTCTTTCTTTCATATGAAGACTTCAAAGTCTGTTACTAGTGGAATGGCATGTTTCAAGTTTGACCAGCTTCATTTTCAAGTGTTGGAAAGCCACAGGTGGCTACGGCCTTGGATAGCACAGGCCTAGAGGCATCTTGTTGATGCTCGAGAGACTTCAAATTGTTCTAAGAGAGAATGGTTTTCATGCAGACGTCCACTGCCAACTAAATAAACAAACAAACAAAGGTATATATTGGATTGTGTAAAATCACACTCACCTCTGTGTGATCCTCACTTTTTTTTAAATTTAATTATTCAGGGCTTCCCTGGTGGCTCAGTGATAAAGATCCCACCTGCCAATGCAGGAGACACGGGTTCGATCCCTGGTCTGGGAAGATCCCACAGGCTGCGGAGCAACTAAGCCCTTTTTGCCACACTCCTGAGCCCGCGAGGCGCAGCTACCGAAGCCGGCATGCTCCAGAGCCTGTGCCCCTCTGCGAGAGACGCCACCGCAGGGCGAAGCCCGCACACAGCTGGGGAGGCGCCCCTGGTCGCCACGGCTAGAGAACAGCCTGAGCAGCGAGGAAGACCCGGCGCGGCCAAAAGTAAATAATAAAATTGTGTTAAAAAGTAAAGGCTCAAAAAATTAATTTTTCACACAGTCCTGAAGAATTTTTTAATGTACTCAGTGAGTTTCCTAGTCAAGTCTTGGCAGTTAAATTCCTATGGTCAGCACACATAGCTGCATTTAAAATTAACATTAAGTGGAGGCATTTTGAGACTAGGAATTATGAAGCAAGGATTTTAGTTAAGATTAAAAGGTTAATCCTTCACCAGGAAACTGCATTCTGTCCTCACAAGAGAACAGCCGTGATGATCTACAGTAATAAATCTGATTATTGTCATTACGGAACTCAAATTATTTGTCTAGAAATGACAGTATCACAGACAAAGACCAATAGGTTGAGAAGGTCTCAGGTAGAGTTTTTTTTGGTTTGGTTCGATTGGGTGTGGGATAGAGGTTGTACAGTATTGGAAAATATAACCATTTAAGATACTGTCAAAATTCTTACAAAATTCTTACTGTCAAAATTCCTAGATTCATGGGTGGGTTCTGATCTGCTGTCTCGTTGCAGGAGAATCTGAGTAATTCTACAACATTCACTGTCCGTACTTTGACAATGGTACTTGTAGCTGACTACCCAGCTTTCTTGTAAAAATAAAAATTACTCTGCTGCTGGAGCACCTGAAAAAAAATATTTCTTTTCCCAGTAAGACTAGAACTACGTCTTCTCTGTCGACTCCAAGAGCCTAGGAAGAATACAGCGACCTCATAGAGTCAGCCGGAAGGAAGGCAGGTGATTTTGTTTTCTGGGTTGTTGTTGATAGTTCTCGGAAATCCCCCTTTGCTAATAGTCACCTTTTGTTCTGCTCTTCCTTTCTGGGGGTGGAAGCTGTGCCCTTGGGCTGCGGGTGTCTCTCTCCGGCCCTGCTGGACTGTTTTTTATCCCTGTCCCCTTCTCCTCACTTCCTGCCGTACAAAACAGCCCCGAAGCCAGGGTCAGCTTGTCGCTGGAACCACGAGGGGCTGACCGGCTTGCTGTTTCAGGGCCGGGCCCTCAGCAGATGGGGGGTGGACATCCACAGTCAGCTCTCAGCAGATGGGGGGTAGACATCCACAGTCAGCTCTCAGCAGATGGGGGGTAGACATCCACAGTCAGCTCTCAGCAGATGGGGGGTAGACATCCACAGTCAGCTCGACGCGGGCCCAGCTGAGGACACGCTGCCGCGGCCTCTGGGATTCTCCGCTTGCCAGCCAGCAGTCTCCCTCTGTGCTCTGGTTCAGCCGAGGAGCAACTTCGTTTCTGACTGTTGAAGGAAAACAAACTCCCATAGTGTTCACTGAGGCATGTTTTAGTTCAGGTTCTCCCTGAAACAAAGCCTCAGACCCAGACCTGGATCTTGGGTGCAAATAGCCTTTTGGGGCGGAGACCTGGGGCCAGGAGTGAGGGGACGCTAGAGGAGGAGGCGGAAAGGCTTGCAGAGGCTGTGTGCATCACTGGCTCCCCTCGTGAGCCGTGGGGCCCGCTCTTGCTGGGGACCCTCCAAGGGATGCTGTAGAATGTCTCCCAGAACTGCCCCCCTGAAGAAGCAGAGACCGAGGCCTTTGGTCCCCGACTTTCCTTCCCCCCAGGGTTGAGGACTGCCCTGGGGATGGTAACAGCCCCCGGTACGTCGGGCTGCCGGCGTAAGGGTGAAGTGAATCACGAGAGCCGCAAAACACCCCGAGGAGGAGGCTTGAGGGTCCCTGGCCGTGTGCACAGAGCGTGCCCCCTCCTCCTGAGAGCCCAGAGAGGTGGAGGGGAGGTGAGCGGGGTGACGGACGCAAGGCCAGGGGCTGCCTGGAGCTTAGGGTCTGGGAAGAGGAGAGCTTGGGGCGCTTGGCAAGGAGCCCTTGGGGGCCACTTGCGGGAGACACTTAAGTCAACAGGTG